ATTTATTTATTACTTTTATATTAAATTTAAAATCGAATATCTTAATATTCGATTTAGTAATTTTATTATACATTTCGAATATATTATCTAATTCGTTAATTATTTCTTAGATAATTTAATATAAGTCTAAGATATCTTCGTTTACTCTTATTTTAATAATATTATATATAGTAAATTTATAATAATCTCGTATATAATCGATTTTCTTAAATTTAGTAGAAAAGATTATAGCGCTTTATCTGAACTTCGCTTTAAGATATTAACGCCAGCTATTCTACTTATTTCGATTATTAATACTATAAAAATCTAAGATATCGAAATATTATTTATTTAATTCTATACTCTCTACGCGATTCGTAATAGAGATATAATATAAATTTCGATAAATACTATTAATAAGAATACTCGGCTAATAAGATATAACCTCTATATCTTTTTTATCGAAGTTTTTTAAATTAGCTAATATATAAGATTATTACTTCTTTAGCTATTACTCTTTACACTTTAAGTCTTACTTAAATTTCTTATTTTCTTTAATAAGTTTTATAATATTAATACGATACCTATCACGTAAATCTCGAAATCTATTATTAATTTCTCGCTTATAAAATAATTAATTATTACTATTACTTAGCTAGATAATAATTATTAATATCTTTATCTTAATATAAGCGATATTCTAGTTAAATTCTTTATTTTATTATTAAAGTATCTTAATATTACGGCTAGCAATTCTAAAGCTCTCTATTAAAGTCTTTAATCTATTATATTAAATATTAAAAATATTAATAGCGCTTTCTATAAAGTCTTATAAATTAATAATAAATATAAAGATTATAATTAACTCTTCTTTGATAATATCTATAAATTATACTTTAATATAATCTAAATTAGATTTAATAGTATATCTTCTAGAGATAGAACGCTTTTCTTTATATTATACGAACGATCTAACTCTATTAATATTTAGAACCTTTTTATTAAAGTTTTTAAGTTCTTCTAAACGATAATATATCTATAACTTACTTATAACGATTTAACTTTAAATATTATCTAGATTTAAGATTAAGAGATATATATAGCTAGTATTAAACTAGTAAACGTATAAAGAAGATTTAATCTAAAGTCTATTTCTTTTAATATATTAAAGATATCTATTTCCTTTAAATTCTTATTTAATTTAGTTAGATTAGCCTTTATATAAATAAAAAACTTTCTTTTAAATGATCTTTTAAGTAGTAAGCTTTTTCAGCTATAGCTACTAACTTCTTAGTAATATACTTTCTTCTTAGCTATATATTTAGTATAACTAATAAATAAATCGCTATCGCTTTAGAAGAAAGATAGATAGTATTATATTAGAAACTTAATAATATATATAATAACTCTATATTATAGTATAAAGAGAATACTATCTATATAGAATTATTATAAATATAAGCTTTATAGTAAGATAGAAAGGCTGAAAGGCCTTAACACGCTAAGCCTAATTAGGCTATAATATAAGTAAGGTTATAAGATCGTTGAAACCGTGACATAAGACTAAATTTAATAATTCTTTTTTTATTTAAAAGTATAAATTACGTTCTATATTTTAAAAAGATAATTCTAAAACTTTAATAGAAAATTAAAAAGTTATTCTAAAATTAAATAATATACATTCATTTTTTAATTAAGACTATCGACTATCGAGTAAATTTAATAAGCGAACTTTTAATAGACGATATTTAAATTTCTTATCTTTAAATATTTATAAGATTAAATTTAATAATTCTTTATTTTATTTAAAAGCGTAAATTACGTTCTATAGTTTAAAATAAATTTTTTAAAATTTAATAGAAAATATAAATATTATTCTAAAATTAAATAATATATACTTATTTTTTAATTAGAATTATCGACTATCGAGTAAACTTAATATAGAGATCTATATCGAAAGTTCTATACCCGCTAAGACTCTTGCGCTTAGACTTCGAATAACGCCTTACCTAAAGGATTACTTGAATAATACGTCTAGAGTTCTTCGAAATCGCATCTAGCTCTAGTCAGATTTTAAGGCTTAATACCTTTATTAAGCTAAGAGAAATATCTAAAATCCTATTCATACGCTATGAGAAGATATTTCTAGACTTCCTCTCTATAGGGCCGCTTTTCGAAAGTAGGGTTAAAGCTACACTAGTGCGGGTGCAGGACTTTCGATATAGACCTCTATAAGTAAACTTTTAATAGATAATATTTAAATTTCTTTTCTTTAAATATTTATAAGATTAAATTTTATAATTTTTTCAATAATAAGAAGCGTAAACTACGCTCTATAATTAAAAAAAAATCTTAATATTTAAATAGAAAATAAAAAAGTTATTTTATTTATAAATAATATATATTTATTTTTTTAATAAAAGAGACTTAAGAGAATTAATAAGTTAATTTAGATAGTTTAATTAAAAAGCGTAATACTCTTAAATTTATAATAAATTATATATATAAATTTAAGACTTTTTAATTTAATTCTATCTTATTCTATTATATATATTAATAGCGAGATTATTAACGATAATAGCGATATTTTAATAACGTTATATCTTATTTTAATATAACGATTATATAAATACTTATATATATTTAATAATATTCGCTATCTAATAATATATAATCTTAAATTTAATAAATTCGAGAGTAAATTTTAGAGAGTACTCTTTCGAAAACTTATCTCGAGTTTATCTACGTCTTATTACGCGATATAGAATTTATAAGATTTAAATAAAATTTATTATATTAATATATAACGTTCTTAATATAAATCTAATTTATAAAACTCTTAAAACTCTAGATATCTTATTTTATATTCAATTTTTCAATTTTTCAATTTTTTTAATATTAGTATATTAGTATATATAAAAGAATAAGATAGAGCTAAGCTTAAAAACCTTGAATTTGTATGTACAGCCAATTATAAATTCGGATTCGCTACGCTCTTTAATTAGATCGGCTGACTCACCGCGGGTAAATAAATTAGCGTCCGCAACTATTAAAAAAAAAGGTGTATATTATTAACATATAGAATAACTTTTTTATTTTCTATTAAATTTTTAAGATTTTTTTTCTAAATTATAGAACGAAATATGAGCTTTTAGATAGAAAAAGAATTTCTAAATTTAGTCTTATAATTATTAAAGCGCAAGGAATTTAAATATCGCTTATCAAAGTTCGCTTATCAAACTTCGCTCGACAGCCCTAATAAAAAAACAGGTGCACATTATTTAATTTTAGAATAACTTTTTTATTTTCTATTAAAATCTTGAGATTTTTCTTTTAAATTATAGAATATAATGTGGGCTTTCAGATAAAAAAAGAATTTCTAAATTTAGTCTTATAGATATTTAAAAGTAAGGAATTTAAATATCGTATATCAAAAGTTCGCTCATCAAAGTTCGCTCGACAGCCCTGATTAAAAAACAGATACACATTATTTAATTTTAGAATAACTTTTTTGTTTTCTACTAAAATTTTAAGATTTTTCTTTTAAATTATAGAACGTAATGTGGGCTTTTAGATAAAAAAAGAATTTCTAAATTTAGTCTAATAAATATTTAAAGGCAAGGAGTTCAAATATCGCTTATTAAAGATCGCTTATTAAATTTACTCGACAGTTCTAATCTAAAAAAATGATTATGAATTTAATTCATAGGCCTTTACTCGTCATTATTATAAAAGAATAAATTACTAAAGTAAAATTTAAATCGTCTATTATTAGATTTTAAAGACTTTCGAATACATACGAGTATAGCGCAGCCACTCTAAAACTATGCTAATGATAATTTTTTTAGCGTTGGCTGAGGTATAGAAACACCCGAGAGATAGAGGACTTTGGTTATTTTCGGCAAATTTAGTAATAATGACGACGGTGTTCGGGCTTCTATCATGATCGTAGTCTCAGTACTCAGACTCTATTCGGAAGGGTTGGTGGTGGGTCGGAAAAACCTTTTTTCCGGGCCGAAATTTCGTCATACCCTTCCCCTAGAGTCTGAGTAGGAAACTCTGGAATCGCTACATTGACCGTTATTTTATATGGGATCCTCACCAAAATTGACCGAAATAGAAAATAAGTAGTTACTTTTATATATAACTTTTTATTACGCACTCTAATAAAAAAATAATTTCCTATAAAATAACTATTTAAATAGCGTAGAATTAGATTTTTTTTTTCGATTTTCAATAAAATATCTTAATTAATTATTTTTAGAAGATTTTAATTAGAGTTTTAAAAATTATACTTTTAACCCCCCTCTTATTTTTAAACGTGCACCGGCAAAACCTCAAAAATAATATCAAAATATTCGTTATATTTATAAGTCTATTTAAGAATATTATTATAGAATTCTCCGGGCCAGATTTTACACATTAATATTTGTTATATTTTTACTTAAAATTTATTTATCTAAGCTATTATTTTAACTAATTTATTAACTAATTTATAATTTAAAATCATTATTTAATAATTTATAAATACAAGTAAATATATATGATGTTTTATTAATATTTATTTTTTATTTATTTAATGATTATATTATTTTAAAATTTTTAGAAAAAAAATTAAAAAGCTTATTAACTTTAGAGACTTCGAACTTTAAATTTAGAAAATTTGATATATTATTATTATATATATTAAGAATATATTTATAAATTTTTAGAAAAAGTGATGGTTCGGTTATCGAGTAATAATATATCGAAGTTATAGATTATTAAGTTTTCAAAACAGTTTCGAGGTAGTTTCGGGGTAGCTTCGGGGTAGCTCGCTCCGGGGCAAAGCTACCCCGGAACTTACTAATGCTGATATATACCCAGGGGTAAATATCTCATATCAGCCAAACCACCAAAAAAACGAGGCTTGGCAGGGTTTCCTACTCAGCCCCACTGCGTGGGGCCTTTTCTGAGACTATCATGATTCGCTTCAACGTTCACTCCTCAAAAAACAACAAGTGTACTTGATTTTCTAAAAGATGTCGACCATTTTCCCTCGAGCCTCTTTGCAATCCTTAGGCGTCTTGCGACCCTCAGCAACAGCATCACGAGCAGTCCCAAGGTGTTCTAAAGCACTGCATCAATACACCACATCAAACACCCTGACCGCTTCGAGTATACGACTTAGACCGCGGCTTGACTCGTTGAATTCGAGGTCCAAGTTCCAACCACATGCCCTCGCTGGCACAATTCGAACGATATTCATCCAAACAGAGAATACGCCAAACGCTGATGTGAGCAAACGACCCCACACGACCAGTATCAGCTACTGAGGCATCGAAGGCACTCAAATTCCTTCCCAACCACACTATTTTACCTGAGGGTTTAGCATCGCCGTTTCTCGAGTATTTGTCGCCCAGATCTACATTGGCGCCTCCACACCCTTCGCCTTTGGCAGCGCGATTGCTAAACGTCGATGGAATTACTTCAATATTCTATGGTCCAGATTTCATTACTGTCACGAAGGCCTCTGATGCTATCTGGGCGCACGTCAAACCAGAGGTTTTCAGTTTGATCACGGAAGCAGTCACTTCTGGCGAGCAGATTGTCAATACGATCGAGAACAAGTCCGCTGAAGCGGGGCAAGAAGGAGGGGAACAAGATACGCTTGGATACGACGAGAACGATAGCGAAGTGGTAGGCATGATCAAGGAACTTCTCGAGACCCGGATTCGACCAGCGATCCAAGAAGACGGGGGGGATATTGAGTTTCGAGGCTTTGAAAATGGGCATGTTCTACTGAAGCTCCGCGGTGCTTGCAGAACGTGTGATTCAAGCACTGTAACCTTGAAAAATGGCATCGAGAGTATGCTTATGCATTACGTTAGTGATGCATTGCTTTGGCCATAAGCTTTATGTCTGTGCTGACAATCATCCGCTACAGATTGAAGAAGTCAAAGCTGTTACACAAGTGCTTGATCAAGAGGAGGAGATTGCTATGCAAGAATTTGCCAAATTCGAGGCAAAGTTGAAGGAACAGAAGGGACCAGATGCCATTGCTTCAACAGTAGGGAAAGGGAGCTTGGATACTGCAGAAGCCTGAAGCGTTAATAAACGAATGTGGAATTTTGACGATACTGCAAGTGACTCTGCACGGCGTTTGGGATGCACCGAGAGGTTGAATGCTAAGGACGATCTTATGATGGCCTCTCAAGAACCCTTACCTCGCACATCTGGTTTCTATCAAGGTCACCCGTGAGTGGTCTGGAAGCTTTTCTGAGGACCGAGTAAGGCAAACATGCCGGACAAAGAATCCAGACGAATTGGGCCCCTGATCAGATAGCCACTTTATCTGCAAAAGCTCGCCGAGCATTTCCGATACATGTCTTGCTTCGAGTAGAAACCAAGTTGCTGAGGTAGTCTGTTGTTCACTTTAAAAGATGTTCTTAATACTTTTGGGGATTGCGATATAGCGTGACGGCCATTGTTGCAGGGCCTCTATTCTTCTTTTGACTTTACGACAGACCTGCGAGATCGACAAACACAGCTGTCTCGTGATGTTCTGAAAATAATAGTATTCACATGAAGCATTAGTGCATGCGGCTACTTGCTGCTCGGGTACACGGGTACACCTAACATGTTCAAAGTGAAAGTGTGGGGTATCCCGGTTGGTCCTTGTGAAGGCTATCCAGCTGTGGCTTGTGAGCTGGACCCTTCACAACCTCGAGGCTCGAGCATAGCAATAGGCGAATTGACCTGGGACTTGCTCGATATTATTATCCCGCTACATGCGATGGAGTTTCCCACCGTATCGCATCGCCATCCCGCCCGGACTGGCTTGTTGAGAGCGTTACCTGTAGAATAATTCTCTATAACTACTCGAATCCCTTCAGCACAGGCATGTAGGCTGCATGTACCCAAGACCAGCGTATCAGATGGCATGATCGACATTGGCTACTTTAGGACTGACAGAGCTTTTACCCCTCCTCGTGCGATCCTCATGCATTGCAGCATCTCTAGACTTGACTCCAGTCTCTCTCCGCATTTGAAAAGAACGCCTCTCGCCTCTTTTAGACTCAAAGAGACCCCGCGCCCGCGGGGACGACTGGGGTCCTTCACTTTTAGCGCCTCAAGATCCCTGGGGAACATCCTGGCCTCTGGCCTCCTCTCCTCCTCTGCTCGCTCCCACCCTTATTGACGTTTACTTCCATTCCTGAGAACCCTATCATCTACGAATACTCCCACTGTGAACGCAGCCTGGTCGACAAGGACCCAGAGGGACATCGAATTGGAAACGTATCACCTGCTTGGAACCCCGCAATCATCCTGAGTGAAACACCCGCGCAAGAGCAGCGCCGTTAGAGAACCAGAAGACTTCGACAGCTGTTCTTCTTCCTCCCTGTCTAGCCGTCTAGGCTTTCGACTCCCGATTGTCATGAGGCCAGTCGTCTTGATGGTCGATATCGCCACCTCAACGACCTGAAGACTTATCCACAGTCTCCCCAATTTGGTACCTTCGATGGGCCGTCGCGTCCTACAACAGTATTCGGCCGGGAAGAATTGACGAGCAAGAGAAGAACACAATCATCGGGTACATACTTGAATCCTTTATGGGTCCTGTTTAAGACTCTTGGCGGAGCCTAAAAGCACCACAATTGAACATCGTATATCTCCGAGACACTATCTGTGACCAATTTCTATTACGCCTGTGCATACATAGATTCAGTTATACTATTCTTGTTGATCCTTTTTTTGGTACGCGTTTCCAATCCTGCGTGTCTCTCAAAAATTTGCAGAACGATCACTGGCAACGCTTCTTCTTAAGCAGCTTGCTGACTTCTGCAAGATACCCAACTACTACTGATAGGACTATTGATCCGCCGGCGTCCATTCTCAACAATTTTCGCAAAAATTAGAGGAAGAATTGCTCTGAATAAGACTGTGAATAGAACTGCTAGGTGGGTCGTTGCTACTTCCCTGCTGTCATTGCAGTTCACCCGCACGTTGTTGCGCTGTCATGCCATCTTGCTGCTCCCTCCATGCTTGGGATGACTCGATCGATTTCTACGACAGACTGAGAGCATTGCTTCTGTTGATCTCTAAATGCTTCGTATTTCTCAGACGGGTTAATGGGACGTAAGGAAGATGGCATTTCCTTGCAGCTGCAAAGCCCTTGAATAGCGTCAACAGCTCGTCATAAGTCAATACTGATGTGGTAGCATAGACTTCGAAGGAGACGTTACTTCGTTTAGATCGCTATATCATCACGAATTCATAAATAACGAAATTCTACCGAGACCTGCGATTACCTCACAAGATCTGTGCAATGTAAGTCAAAGGGATACCATTGCGGCTGAGTGGTGATATATGAAGCTGCTGACGGACTTTTAGCCTGCATTTCACCAGGCAGTGTTTATTGATGTAAAACTCGTTGGACAATACTCCGACCATCAAAATCAGGCTTGAGTCTGTCACGTTCTGTCGTCGGCGAGGGACAGGGTGCACTTTATTCACCAGGCATTTTGTTGATGTGAGCACTTTCTGATCTACGCAAGTTTCATTAAATAATCACCTCTCTTCCACAAAGAGAGACTCTCTGACTCACATTTTTTACGGACTCCCGGCGTGCAAGCTTCGATGGCCTATCACCTTACATCGTGTGACTGACTTTTGACGTTCGTAGCGGTCTCGAAGTTCAAAGATCTATCTAAATATCCTGAGTGAGCAAGGTCTCATAGAACGGTTACGAGGAATGGTCTCAAGCCCGTGGACAAGCTATTCACCCAAGATCATATCGTCTAGGTTGTCAAGATGACATCCACTACGAGTTCGCAGGCCCAGGCAGGCCAAGCAAAGCGCACTTCTTTCGGTGGCTTTCCAGGGGGTGGCGCGTCAATCTTCCTCGATAGGTCCAAAGCTGGTTTCCGTGGCTCTACACCCGACTCCGAGGCACTCGCATCTTCTGATGACGAACAAGATCATCATCTGCGCTTGCATCCCGTGACCAGCAATCCTGGACCAAAACCAGTCCGCCGACTATCGTGGCTCACAGACATGCAACAAGTGCCAAATCGTAAGGGGTCTTTGGGCGGCAACGGACCGTTTGCACCAGCTAGCCCCAACACGACCGCATCTCCTAATGATCAGACACCATGGGGAGGAAATGTTGCATCAAGTACTGGGTCAACGATAGGCCGCGGCCATGCCACCAGCACTTCGTTTCCATGGGGAAACACTATCTGGAACAATGACCCGCAAAAGGGCCCGCCTCAACGTTTGACCGAAGTATTACCGTCACCCACCAGCATGGTATCTCCTGGATCTACGAGCCTTTACACCGAGGAGCCTTTGCACAGTCCTCCGCTAAGTCAAGAAAACATGGCAGATTCTGCGATCCCTTTTGCAATCCCGCTTCAACCGACGCTCAAGACATATCGGTCCCAATCGTATTCGGTTGGTCAACTGGATCCAGAATCTTCGAACTTGCCTTCCAACAATTATGGTGGCTACAATGCTTACGGCCGCTCGAGGAACGGAGCACCGTATGCAGGGCTTCAGCACAGACCCTCGCGTCCAAGCATGTTAGGAGATCTGTCACACGATCCACCTCTCTTGGAACAGCTTCGGGAGGTCGAGGACGACGAGGAAAGCTCTAACGGCTCGGAAACGGACGTTCAGCTTTCAGCACAGGAAACCAAGATTCAGCAGCTTGCTACGGAGAACGCCATGCTCCGGCAGGCAGCCGCCGAACGATCAGAAAGCGCAAAATTACGCAATCGAGCAGCCACTAGTATCACAAGCAAAGCACTGCGTAGTTCTGCTCAAGTGTACAGTCAACACTCACGTGACCCACTGGCCGAAGAGACAGAGTATGCTTTGTACGATTTTGAGGACTCTGAAACTCCCAAGCTGTACAAATACGAAAGTGTGAACGGGAGGAGATCTAGTGAGTACGCTACTAAATCGAGTCCGCATTATACAGTGGCAGGCATTCCTGAGAACAGGACACTGGAGAGTGTCAAGAAAGGACACTGGCAAAGCTCACTAGGCTTTGGTGGAATGGGAGAGCCACCTCAGAGCCGTCGTCATTCCTTCGCCGACGTACCGACCCGACAGAACTCGATCGGTTCAGCAGGTGACTCGCAGAACGGGCATAGCGCAGGTGACATCGGTCTCCGATCTAATGGTAGACATGGGAGTCCCGGAGGGTATAGTGATGCATTGGCTCGCCCGTCCCAAGGCGATGGTAGTGAGTGTACCCATTTTCATTCGCCTCAAATTATGCAAGAACGATATTTAGGACTGGAACATTTACGCGACCGTAACTTCGCAGTTGCCTACTTTTCCCGAAGGGACCCCTCGGTGCGGAGCGGAGAGGGCCACGGCTCTGCGGTAAATCACCACCAGGAGTACATGCAGAGCCAGTACGGACGCTCGCAGCACCTCGGTCATCTACAAGCGCGCCCCAGTCAACTCCTCTACATTGTAACGTTCAAGGCCCAACGAGCTGACGTGTTTTACGTGCAAGAAGGCACCGGTCTTCAGGTAAAGAAAGGTGATTTGGTGATCGTGGAGGCGGACAGAGGTGCAGACCTTGGGACTGTAGCCAGTAACAATGTGCCGTTCGCCGAGGCGAAAGAATTGAAGGACCGATACATGCAAGAACACTACAATTGGCTCATGGTATTTTCTCGTCATGGTCAAGACGGGACAGTGGCAGGGCCCAACCCAAACGGTCAACCAAACACGTCAAATAGTGCGATCGAAGGGATGAGCGGATCGCCGGGGCAAGTGGGCCCACAGGACCTTCCAAACAGCGAATTGAAGCCGAAGATGATCAAACGACTGGCACAACCTCACGAGATCCAGACTCTGAGAGACAAAGAAGGCAACGAGGCCAAAGCAAAACGCGTTTGCCAGCAGAAAGTGGTCGAACACCGTCTCAATATGGAGATCTTAGAAGCCGAATTCCAAATGTGGGTAGTGAGCGAGATATGCCATGGGCTGGGGCTAATGCCTTTTAGGGACTGGAAGAAACTTACCTTTTACTACTTCGCCGATGAGTACATCAATTTCAATTCCTTGGTCACAGATTTATTCAAGATTTACAAAACCCGTATTTGGATGTCTGCAATCAATCCCGCGTCATTCCAGACACCAGCAGGAGGACTGCAATTGCCTGGAGGCATTGGGTCCAGCGTTTTCAGCGCTGATACAGACCAGTATTCCAACCGCCATCCACAGAGACAATATCCAATGTCTACATCAAGTGGTCCAAACCAAGCACCACTGGGCGCCTTCGACCACGCTTGGAGCGCCAGTCGCGATAATGCTACCGTTGGCCCCATAGCCTTTCCTCAGCTCTACGCACAACCGTTTCCCTCTCATGACCTTGATGTTCGCTCGCTAGACCAGTATCCGATAGAATACCGTCAGGGTCTCCATCAGGTACTTAACATACACTCGCCTTTCAATTCTCCCGGTTATAACGCACCAAATCCTCACCACTCTTCCTCTTTTACCGCCAGACCGCAGAGTGGCAACGGCGGGATACAAGCGTCACATGTTTTCGGCAGGGATTGGAATCAATCGTTTCAAGGACTATCATTGAATCCTTGACACCTCTGACCTCCCGTGAATTTGCTTTGGGGTCCAAGAGCGGCTTTGAAAGGACGAACCCGGGGAGAGTCCCCGATCTTAGGAGGAAATTCCACCATTCCATGGTCTGTGCTCGCTGCGATAAACTCTTCTCTCATGCATAGCAGATGAATCGACGACAGCCAAGTTCGAATGGCCACGTCCAGTTCTTGCTGTCTGCGCGATGGCCTTGCGTACAGCTCGGGGGGTTTTACAGGTCTGAATCTAGTGTTTCCGGCACGTATGGTTTGCGGGAATGCGAACGACTTTATGAATGCAAATGCGCATAGACCAACTTTCTTACTCTCATATTGATGACATATATGGAATAATAGTGACGTTGGCTTGACTTGATGGTAGCCGGATACCTTCTCAGGTAGATCAAATATGTCACAGGTCACGTGTCTACCTAGAAGCACTGGTTGACGATCGAGCTGTTATCTAGAATAAGTGAAGGACGAGATTGAATGGTAGTATGTGGTGTGCACTTTGACGTAAACTATTCATAATGTTAACCTTTGGTGTGCTCGTTGGCCTGTCCTTACTCAAAGAGCCATTGTATTAGGGCACTTCTCTGTGTGATGTGAACCCCGCCTGATCCAAGCACTTTGGCATAAATCATAACACATGAAGGACCAACTTTGAAGACCCCACAGAACCAACCCGTCAAGGCTGAATCACGAAACGAAAGATTCCTTGACTTGACGTAGCTGAGAGCCCAAGCAAATGCGGGTATTTTCTACTTCAACCCAGACAACCTCAGCAACTGTTTGCATTCAGTGAAATCAATCAAAGGCCATCTACTCCCATGAACAACTATCCGTCATGGCCAAAGCTGGTAAAAGGTCTAACGGTTTGTCCTGCGAGTTCAACTTCCAGCAGTGTCGAGTCAGCTGAATCCTAACTGCGTAGGTGAAACATACTACAACTCTACAAGAGCTAAGAGGTCTAAACCGAGCAATTCGAATCGGCAGCCTGCTCAGATGGGAGACGTGCCTGACCCTGAAGAAGAACTAGGACACTCAACGAGCGTGTAAGCCTTTTCTTACGCCGTGCTCAATGAATCAACTCAAATCCAAGCCAGAGAATTCTTGGCTGCAGCGAAGGAACCTGCGAAGAGGAGCCATGCAGCGGTCTCAGATCTCAAGAATATTGTTGAGGAGGAGAAGAAAAGGCTAGCCAAACTACTCGAGCAGAAGGCATTTGGCGTGTACGCTCGTTATGTATCTACGGGTTGGATGACTCCGAGTAATTTGAGTTCTAGCACGAAACGAGACTCTGAACTCAAAGACACTCTCATCAAGGTCATACACGACGCCCAGCGAGACCGAACAGAGATCGATGAGGAGGGGGTCGACCCGTCCTCCACATCGAAGCCCACAGCATGCGCCATTTACCAGAGCGCCAAGTCTAACATAGCGTCTTCGCGAGGATTGCTAGGACACTACGAACGAGCGTCTCAACAGGTCGCTTCTGGACAAAGGGTCCCGATGATGGAGTCTGGATGGGAGAAGGACTTACAAACGCTGCAACGTATTCTCAACCAACAGGGAGAGAAGATCAAGTCTGAGGTACATCAAATTCTCAATGAAGACTCAGAATCCTCAAAGGAGCAGTTCAAGTGTAACATGTCAGACTTGGACACCGATCTGTGGAATCGATTTGCTGTGGGTGAAGCTAAGGAGAAAATTGTCGAGGCGCTAGACGGAAGAAGAGAAGATACGTGGGCAGTGGTAGCAAAGAATGCACAACGAGGTGTGCGACGTACAGTCAAAAACCTTCCGGAGGATGGCGAGTGATGTTCGCGGTAATAGAAGGGCATGCCCATTTCTTAGGAGCTACAGTAACGGAACTTGTTCAGTAGCTTGAGGCATAGCTGATTTAAGTCTCACAAGGCCCTTAAAAAATCGAGTCTATTAATCTCAATATGAGTAAAGCCAGAATGCTTCGTCAAGTTGCGAGTCCACGGAGTCCAAGTTGAAATAGCTGGGCTCAGCCTTACCAGGCCTCGCTTATATTATTGTTGCCGACGAGCCGCCCACAAAGAATGACGAATCCAATTCCAGAACATCACGACAAGACACATTCTCGTCAATTAAGTCAAGGTATAATCTCCTATTCCGAGTAACTCCTGTCTGTCATACTACTTGCTTCGAAGGCATCGCCTGATTGTTCTGCGATCCATTCCAGGCTGACAGAAAGTGAGCGCAGATGGGTGCCCTCAAATGTAAGAAGGTCTCCCCAGCAATCCAGTACCCCCAACCTTTGGCTGAAACCTACCGCAGATGTCGAAGAGCTTCAAAAGAAGAAGCAATCCGACGTCCTCCGTTTCCTGCTGCGCGTCCGATGCTGGGAGGTAAGACAGCCCTCTCATGCCCTTCAATGAGGCAAGCGCCATGCAAAACCTACATTTGGCCGGGAAAATTCTTGTGGCACATTATGTGTGTTGCTATACACTCGTTGAACATTGCTGAGAGTGCATGGATATAGCTTCGACAATTGCACGTCATCCACCGCGCTTCTCGTCCCTCTCGCCCGGATAAGGCGCGTCGTCTAGGCTACAAGGCCAAGCAGGGTTATGTCATCTACCGCGTGCGTGTGCGTCGTGGAGGACGCAAGCGACCTGCGCCCAAAGGCGCTACCTACGGTCAGTACAAGGGATTTGCCCTTGTCTCTCGAGAGATGCTGATCTAGAACACCTTGAAGGCAAACCCACCAACCAGGGTATCAACCAGCTGAAGTACCAGCGTTCACTCAAGTCCACCGCCGAAGAACGCGTGGGGCGCCGATGCGCCAATCTGAGGGTGCTGAATTCCTACTGGATCAACCAAGACTCGACCTACAAATATTTCGAGATCATCCTCGTCGACCCTCAGCACAAGGCCATTCGCCGCGATCCCCGCATCAACTGGATTGTCAAGCCTGTGCACAAGGTAACACTCTGTCCTCTCATTCAGTAGTCATTCTAGCTGACATAAGCTCAGCACCGTGAATCTCGAGGTCTCACGGCAACCGGCAAGAAGTCTCGTGGGCTGGGCAGGGGTCACAAGTTCAACAAGACTACGGCGGGCAGGAGGAAGACATGGAAGCGTCACAATACCGAGTCATACTGGCGTTACCGTTGAGCTTGAACTTGCTTTTATTGGGGCCATGGCATGCAGTGAGCGTTATCTAGCGCTAAAAGGATTGCTCCTATTCGTTGCACAATGCTTCAAAAGCTTCTACTTGATGTATACGTCTAGCCCTGTCCCATCAAACAGTTGCCGTATCAAATCATACCGAAATTGAACGGAGAGAATCACACGTTCTCTCCTGCCATGCTCCAAACTATTTCACGGGAACGCTTGTTATGTGACCTGTCAGGCTGACATCGAAGGTCGATCCAGACAGCTTTACAGGAACACCGAAGGCTTTGACACAGTGCCCACGCCAGACCGATCGCATGCCTCGACGCAATCATGGCATTTTACGCTTGTCACTGGGCCAGAGATAGGACAGCTTTCTTTATCGTACTCCTAGATTTCGTTGAAAAAACTATGCTTGCAATGCCCTCAAGACGGCAGTTGGGGTATCTTTCTTTTACACTGGGGATGGCCAATGTCCGAATGGAGGTCCAAGCGAATTGGGCACAACGCCTTTGCCCCAATTCCGAAACCCCACGCCCGTAATCAAGCCGCTGTCAAGGTATCCGTTCCATTCAGACCTGTGCATTGCACCTCATCTCCGTGGCTATCAGGAAATGCAAACAATAGAGGCGCGACAAACGCCTAGGTATCTAGAGAATCACTTGATCCCAAAACCTTCGCTCTCAATGACCGCTCTCCAGAGCTTGGCCTCCAGAACACTTCTATCGCGATATCGGTACAAACCTAGCATGTTGAAACATGTTCTGGCTATGGGAAATCTATTGCTGTGATCCCCAAGGCACGTGATCTTAATGACCAGACTGGTAGCGCCCATGGCCGGAATACGGTCGCTAGAGGTGATGAAGCTCAATAGCTTCCTCTGATCTTTGGCACTAGCCTTTCCGAAGGCGTCCCAGAACCAGTCCACCACAGGCTCGTCGGATGCATTGATGCCTTTGCCCCAACCGTCGTAGATGGCGACCGTGCGCAGTGTTGCCACGTCCAAAGGCTCATCTGAGCCCCGTACAAGAAGCTCAATCTCTTCGGGACGGAAAAGTGAGAGGGCGTTCCCTCCGCAAACTGTGAAAAAGCCACGCTTGAAAGGCTCGTATTGACGGGCGACAGACGTATCGAGAAGGTACTTGATGTAAAGGTCTACAAACTCGTATCGATTGCTGTTGGTGACAGCTCTATTTTCGCCATTGGAACACAGTGGGACCTCCAGAAGCTGGCCGTATCTGTCCCCAACCGCAACGAAGTCTCGGCAGAATGTTTCCTCAACGTCGCCGTCGAATTCCAGTAGTTGTCTTAGGCCTTTAGCGAGCGTTGGCCGAAACTCCGCCAGGTCCTCCAGGGTAAAACCAGAAGTCGGACGTAAAGATGACGTCACAGGTCCAGTGTAATTGGGAGCGGAGGCGAGCAATTTTCGGAAGGCAAATGGGGGAAGCGCAACATCGAGGATAGTAGAATTGTAGATGGCGAGGCCAAGAACCGCTCCCACAAGAAAGAACTGATCCGATGTCTCAAACGTACCAGGGTTGAAATAGCAATAGTGAGAGTCTTCGTCGTAGACGAATAAGCCATGTTCCGGATCGAACACCTCGCGAACCAGTAGGAGGAACCATTCTTTGCGAAGCCCACCAGAATCTAGCCCTTCTTCGCCAAGGAACTCGATGCGCAAGCCTTTCTTGATCTCCTCTTGACCTGTGCCAACGACCTCGCTGACGCTACGAAGACTATCTTCGACAAGGCAGTCCCTTCGCACCTTCAGTATAAGATACTGGTTTATTGCCTTTCGGCTCATGATGCTATTAAAGAACGCTTCGCGAGCCTTGATCTCCATTTGCCGACGAGCGTCGTGCTCCATGATGCGTATCTTGGCCCAAATGGACAGGAACATGGGATACTGGCAGAAAGAGAATCTTCCCCTTCGAGACTCCCAAGCTTCGAAGTCGGCTACCAGATCGGAATAATCTAAAAGAACGTTGTAAAAGGCATTGGTTGGGAGAAGTTGACCGTGCCGGTGGGCTCGATTTCGAGCGGCTGAGCCAGCCCTGGATCTGCAAGCGGCAGATGGAGATATTCTGGTACTGTCTCGTCTTCGAGACGAGCCTTGGTTGTTAGCGGAGAAAAGTAAAGACATAACCCTTGCAGCGGCTTTTATCTGCCAGTCTTCGCCATATGGCATGCCGGCATCGTTCCTGTCAGGTGACTTAGGCGCCCCTGATATACCAAGAGCGGCATGGAGCTGAGCAGAGCTTCCTGGACCTGGGCCTGAAATACTAGGTATTAGCCCGCCATGTTCATCGTGACTGTTAGATCGCTTCCTGCCGTGCTGTCTGGTAAGGCGATACGTGACGAAACTTCCAGTGAGATCTACAATTCTTCGAAAGTGCACTTCAGAGAATCGAGAGAACCATATGATAAGGTAGTGGTGGCACTCGCTTGGAAGGTTTGACATGAGACCTAGAATGCGCTTGATTATACCTGAGTGCTTGCCTGTGCTACCATTTCTGGTGCTCGCAGACCGTCGATCGGACGTTGAAGGTTGACGCAAAGAAGCCATCAGCGGCCGTGGGGCGGTACTCTGGCTTTGGCTAGCAGATATTTCGGACTTGGCGACGGTGGACAGTGTTGCTTTGCCAAGTTCAGGCGTGTACAGCAATGGATTTGTGAGGAGTATGAGTAAGAAGCGGCAATCTTCAGGAGTTTTTAAGGGCCGTCCTGGACGTCGAAGCAGATTCTCAGTCACCTTGAGCAGCGCTCGTTGGACATGCGCACAAGCTTCGGCAAAATCTTCCTCAATCTGCGCGAAATCTTCCGTCAATGTAGTTCTCAACATTGCCTTTCCTTTCTCGCTCAAGAAATCCCCTCCTTGAAATTTCTGCAGTCTCTGCCTCCAGGAGCTCCCAACAGTCACGATCGCGTGATACCACTCATCCAACTCCGCCCAATTGACGCATGGGGACTTCAGATTACTTTTTTCTTCAAAAACCCCTTCTGCTATTTTGAGAGCATTGCCATGAGATCGGAGCTGCTCTAGATGGCTTCTTCCCGTCCACCAGGTCCCGTTTTCCGCGAAGTCTCCAAGGAGCAATGTTTTCGCATCTAATTCTGGAAAAGGGGTCTCATGAGGAAACCGATCTTCAGCTCTTGGAGTCATACACTTCTCAAGTACTGTACCTTCGCTGGCAGCTCGAAGCAATTGATGAGTTTTGACGGTCAAAAAAGACGTATTCAGGCATTCGACGCCACTGAAACAAGCTACTAAATAATTTTCCAACGGCCGGAACATGAGTCGAGGAGGTTCTTTTGCGTGCTGCTGGGTAGGTTCAGATGCAGCGCTAGTAACTTTGAACGACGGCGCCTGCAATGCGGATGGTGGCGGCGGGGTCGGGGCTCTAGAGGGGGATGGCATCGTAGGGGCGATCTGTCCAACATTGGGATTTGCGAGACCAAACTTTCCAGCAAGCAATGGTAACGAGGAACATGTGCTGTGATCACGTTTGTTTTGAATATGCACACGCTGAGAAAGTTGGTCGAAACAGTGCTCCAAGCGCGACTGTAAATACAGACTTATGCATTCGTCGATTAGGTTTCGAGTCCTGTCGAGAGACAGAGACAGGACTGTTGTTGCAAGTTAGATGGATATTTTTAATCATAGGGTTTGTGGTACCTTTTCTGGGCAGGTCTGGGTATGAGGAGGATGTGGCAGTACTTGGGCCTTCCGCCCGACGACCCTCCATCGATGACCCTGCTCCCGGCTTCAAGTCATTCACCATGAGACACACCGTACAACGGAAGACATCCAAGTGCCTGGGCCATCTGACTAGGGAATCGCAAGTAATGCATTTGCCTGTTACGAGATCTTTTTCCCCGTTCTGCAAAGACGTCCCATTCACTGCCATGTGATCCTTGGAAGAAAGCCCAGTAGACACAAATGGGGGTTCAGTCAACGTCTCTAAGGCGTCGTCATTGTAATCGACTTCGGATATCTTCTCCGCTTTCTTTCCACTCCCAAAGATTGAAGGGAAAGGGTGACTGTACGATCGTCCATGGCTTGGACGGGAGGGACTCGAGGTTCCGGTCAAAGCGATTACGGGCACGCCGTGAAGTGGCTGGTCATGGTACGTATTCTGTTCAGTATGGTCTTCGCGATGCGGCGGACTCTGTGGAGCTCTTGACTTTGGGCCCGGAGCTGGAGCAGGAGAACCAAGGTGTAGCCGAGCCGGCCAAGGAGGCATTGATCTTTACCAGCAGGTCAGTGCGGACTGATTGCTGGTCGCAGTCGAGGGTGTCAAGTCGATATGAATGGGCAGCTTTTGTTCTACACGAAGAACTATGTTTAACGTAAGACTGATCTCGAGACATGCAGTAGATACGAGTGGGACGCGCGGGCAGTACGTGGTGAAAGCAATTGGCCCGTATCGCGAAAATCCTTGTGCAGGAGTCGTAGTAAAGACAACGGTGGATGATATGTGTGCACCACCGATACGCTGGGCATTTCCTGGAAATCAAAGGGTGAGCAGGGCATTGTTGGAAATAGAGGGAAAGACCAAAGTGAAGGTTGACCGTTCAAGCCAAGAGCCAAGCCCCACTACCTGTATGTAAAGTAAGGTACTATCGGTAGTTTTCAATCCTCAGCCACCAGCGTGCCTGCGGATCGTAGAAGCGGGATTATTCTATGCTCGTTACGACTAGACTAAAAGGTGATCACTAGTAGTCCGTCACTAAACAGTAACTTATACTAGTTGTAGGCTTGAAAGCGTATAACCGCTTTCCCACACACATCTATCGTGGCGCTGGAACAACCAAATTCAGAGCACTTCATCACCTGGTATTTTGATGATCAACCCCTTTCAGAAGAAAGCTTCTATGGCGCAATAGTAGAAAACATCAACAGCTCAAAGGTTGTTGCCGAGGTTTTCTTTGGTAAAGCTCTCGTTACGGGACTGTGTCAGAAGGCCGTGGTTTTCACACCCGCACCACCCCTGGGAATTAAATACTCACTATCTCGATAGTACTAAGGTCATTACTAAGCCGTACGGTTTTCGTAGTCGTGGTGTTACCTAATTAAAGGGACCCGGGAAGAGCTATCAGTCAATCAATTGATTCTTTTGTCCCCATACGTGAGCCCATAATATCCAGCTAGGTATATCCCATCTGTTCACAAATTTATCTCTTGAAAGTTTCACAGGGTATCTTTCCCGTAAATTTAGGATGACGATACTGCCCTCCTGGCTTTCTTCAAGTTTTTCTTGACCCCTTTCATGCTACGTCTTGGCCTCACGAGCCCTTTGCTCGACGACACAGGCTTCTCACCACAGAGCGACCAAATATTCATAGGCTGGCGAACTCCTACATGGCCGCCATCAGGGCTAGAAACCTCAACCCTTGGATATGGTCTGGTGTCGAAAAGGTCACCAGGCTCCATCCCCGTTTCCATGTCCCTTTTCCGAACCTGAGCAACAAGTTCGACCCAGCCGCATCCTTCGACCAGGATGTCAGCCGAAAACACCATGAATGGCAATGTTTTCGTGCTCAATCCGGCAGCGGCAGCCTTGGTCAATGGTCCAGCGCGCTGCTTGGTGACGTCCCATTCCAAGGAGAAACTCCCGGCTGATTGCATCCTGCTTCCAATGCCCGGTTTCGCAATTGTAGATACACCGGAATCTTCGTGCTGAGTATGAATTGCAATTGCCCGTTCTGTAGAGGTAACATGGCACCTCAATGGTAGAAACGGGTAGGCCAAAAAGATCAAATTAGGCGTAGTCGGCGTGATACGCAACAGGCCCCCAACGAGGAGTGACTGGCCAGGCTTGATCACGAGTTGCTCTGGCTTGACCCGATCATGCATTACAAGATCAACCTTGTGAACATCCGTAACGAATTGTTCAAGATCCCCACGCGCCAGACCAGGTAAATCGATCAACTCGCCTCTGCCGCCGCCAAATGGTACTCTGATTGGAGACGCTGTCGTCCCAGGGAGAGACGATACTAAAGGCAACACAGGGTACGGAGTTTCTGGTGGCGCAGGAGGCAAGGAAGAGTCTTCTAAGAGCTGTGATTCCGTTTCCTTGGGCGGGTCCTGGGTTGATTGGCTCCTCCGTTGTTCGTCTCCGTTGGCATCAGGTACGTCACGAGGCAGTTTCTGCTGCGCAGCATACCGGAAGGAGCCAAAATTAAGGTCATTGCTCCGACCTTTCGGAAAGATGTTCTCGAACAGATTGCTTTTGCCGACGTTCACCTTGCCGACCATCCACCCACCTCCACCTCGATTCCAGATATCTTCCTTGACCTGTTTCGTCCACCAACCCCTTTTTGAACTTACACAGCGCACGTTACCGAGGCGCAGGTTTTCAGCGGATCCACCCAAAGCATTTCGAAGGACTTGTAAGATGTAAGGCATCAGGCTGTCGACCTGCTCCTTCTTCGGGGCCAACAGATCCGAACGTGTAATGATGAAACTCATCTCCGCTTTCCGCCCATATTGATAGTGACTCGTTTTAGCTCTCCTATTCAATGATCTTTGCGGTGCTAGCGAAAGACTTCGTTGAAGAGAAGGTATGAGAGAAAGTGGAAAATCAGCTGCGTCCAGAACATGATAGACGTGGTTGTATTTATGCGGCGATTCGGCAATGATTTCTTGAATAGATCTGATTGTTGGATGGACTACGGAATGGCCGGTACGATGATGTATCAGGTCATGACAGCGGTTACAAACTGGTGTGGGTATGTTTGTGGAGCTTTTGCGGCCTGTGTCTAGATTAGATTGATGCTTGAAACTATGCTCATATTATCTGACCCTCTGTATTGTTTTCCCCTCCTCCCTGTAGGCCCATCTGAGACAACAAAGATGCGTCTGCAGCTCCTAAGATGCGTTCGAACAGTCTTAATTCCCCATCATGTCCCTTATCCGGGCATTGCCCATGGCGACTTATGAAAGCCTTCACGGACTTTCGATTGTTGCCATAGAAGCCAGGCTGCCCCGGGCTTACGGTCTGTGTAAACGCACCGCAACCTGGGCATGATCGTGGAAGATTTAACAGTTGTGAAGGAGTTGGAAAGCCGTGTGAGGGTGTTGTGGTAGCATCAACATGGAGCTGGTGCTTGCGAGGTCTCGGAGGCCGTCTTCCAAGACCATAGCTGATGTTGGTACATGATGCGATTGAGGGACAGAGAAACAGCGGTATCAGATTACTGGGCGTTTTCAACAGGTTAGTTGTGCGTATGCCGTATGCCATCAATGAAGCAGATCTAATCCACTTTGAAGGTGGTGAGTCCGACGATATACTTTGTTTACAGGGCTGGTGGGGCCAGTGATTTTGGGAGCTAATGAGCTTGTTCCAACTCTCACTTTCAAGAGGACAGGTACTTATCTTAGCCTCAGACGGGAACTTTTGGAAATATGATCTGATTGGGTAAATATCAAGCCTGGTGGCCTAATCGTGAATTTCCCTGCTTATCGAAAAATCTCCCAACAACGCCATCGCTTAATCATAAATGAATGGCACAATATGGTTCGAGACTCGCTACGCCATGGCTTTTGATTTGCCCTTGCCGTTTACAGATGCAGTGACATCTACCGTGGTATCGTCGGCCCGGTCTTCTCCCTCTCCGTCATCACTCATGAAATCGTCGTCTTCGTCGAAGCCGAAGTATGACCTGGCGAGCGTAGGGGTTGGTTGTAAAATCGAGGAAACTGCGAGTGCGTTTTGTTTCAAGTCTCTCATATCCTCTTCTTCGCTCTCTTCACTTGTCTGAGCAGATGCGCCGCTAGAACTACCGCTGGAGGACTCCTTGAGATTGTCATGATAATCTCCAGATCTCATTGCCGTCAGCACTGCTTCTCGCGCCCGCTCTCCAGCTTCTTCTTTATCTTCCACCCATTTGCCGTCGACTTTTCCCTTTGACCCATTTCGAATCTCTTCCTCTCTTCTTTCGGAAAGAGCAACAACTTGCTCCCAGCGAGCTCGTCTGGCTTCCTTGTCTTTTTTCTCCATTTCTGGTTTCAGCGCGAGGTACTCAGCCAGGGCTTTCGCTTCGTTGACTGTCCTGAGACGCCGGCCATCCAGGTTGCGGTTGGAGCTATTACTATCGCCTTGGTTGTTCTTTCGCTTGGAGGACATGCGCCCACCAGCAGCACGAAGCTGGGAGCCGAAACCACCCTTTCCACCACATAACGGTACCGAGAGTCGGAGAGGTAGGAATGCGTCATTGGGACTGGAAAGTAAGGTGGCTACTGGGGCTTCCGAAGAGAAAACCTCCTTGTTTGAGGTAGTGGTAAAAATGAGTCGAGAGTCTATGTGTGGAAGTCGATCTGAAAGCTGTTGCCTCAAATCTGTGATAGAAGTAGAGCTGTCGACAGGTAGAGACAAGGTAGAAGGCAAACCAAGACCGGGAAACGAAGTCAAGAAGACGTTGATGATCTGAGAAGCCATTTAAATAACTGTAGAGGAGAGAATTCCGGAAATTGTCGCTTTGATGAGAGGTCATGTAATAATGAACTCTACTCGGAACGGAAAATTGAACAGCAAAAATCTGGTCAGCCGGACAAACCACGCCATTTTTCGATAAATAAATTAGCCGCGCGCCAAGGCACTCCGGCGTTAGTTCACTAGCTCCCACAAACATATTTGCTTGCCTTCGCCAATAACATCAAATCAAGCTCAGCATCGATCAAAGCGATTCCCCGACTCACGACAGGAACTCGCGATCATGTAAGTTTATTCTCGCATTTATATCATTGTCGGGACTCCCTCCAAGTTTGAGTGCAAGCGATGAAAATTATGACAAATCTGATTCTGCTCAACGAATAGCTAACCGATATCAGGCTCATCCCTAAAGCCGACAGAAAGAAGATTCACGAGTATCTCTTCCGTGGTATGTCTATCCACCTCCCAAGTCCGGCTCGACTTGGCCATGTTGCTGGCTTCATCCACTTGTGCTCACCAATCTCCCAGAGGGAGTTCTCACGGCGAAGAAAGATTTCAACCTCCCAAAGCACAATGAGATTGACACCAAGAACCTCTATGTAAGATCTACCGTGCCTGAAAATTCTACTCCGCCTAACGTGTCACAGGTCGTCAAGGCATGCCAGTCTCTAACGTCTCGCGGCTACCTGAAGACCCAGTGAGTAGTCTTTGCTCTCCACATCCACTGTAGAGACTCTTGCTAAAACGGTGAAAGATTTTCTTGGCAGTGGTATTATTACACTCTCACTCCCGAAGGTCTTGATTATCTCCGCGAATGGCTTCATCTACCCGCCGAGATCGTGCCCGCTACCCACATCAAGCAACAGCGTTCTCACGCTCCTCCCAAGGGAATGATGGGTGGTGACGACCGTGAGCGTCGCCCTGGTGGACGTGGCGGACCTCGTGGTGATCGCGGCGACCGTGGAGACCGTGAAGGCGGATACCGAAGACGTGAAATGGGAGACGCAAAGGAAGGTGGTGCTCCTGGCGAATTCGCCCCCTCATTCCGCGGCGGTTTTGGCAGGGGGCGTGGTGCTCCTGCCTCTTAAGGGCTGCCTGCGACCCTGCGAACGTGCCATCGGGGACGACTTGCCAGAGCGGCCCAAATAGTAGCGTGTTTGGTCGAGTGAGAGAAAATGCCGGGGTAGTTTTGGTCGAAGGAGGCAGATGACACTGCAAATAGGCCATTATCAAAAAGTGAACCTCAAAATCGTTGTAGTCTCTGCTCTACGTTCCTTGTGACGTGCTACTTGCACATGAACCATGAATGAACCTACATCCTGCCACCAGGTCTACTGAGCGGTCCCTCTCTATCACATGCTACTTCGTTGTGCTCTAAGCACATCATAGCGCAAAACAGCGCCCATGAGAACCTGCGCTCCATTCATGCAGTCTGTAGGCGAGCAATACTCGGTCGGATTATGTGAGACTCCATCGCGGCATGGTACAAAGATCATGGATGTTGGTGCCACTTTACTGCAAAACACACTGTCACTGATTGAATTCGCATGTCAGCAGTTGCTCTTTACAAAAGGGGATTGAGCTCATGAAAGATGTGTGTGGATTCCCAAAACATGAAGATATCCACAAAAAATTTGGGGCCGGGAAAGTCGTACTGCCCAGCCCCACTAATCATTGCCTGGGTGAGTTTCTCATATTCATCTCCGAAAAGATCTCTTGCGCTCTCGTCCACGCAACGAATGCAATTTTCGTCGAATTCGATGGCTTCACTTGGTGCATCAAGAGTCCATTCCACAGTGCACCCTCTGCCAATAGTTCCGCTCTCGCTCAAATCATCCACTGCTTCATTCTTTGCGATCTTATCAAAATCAACTTTGAGCTCGTGTTCCAGCATCATCAAGCGGTCGTCTTCACCGGCTCGGATGTCAAGTGAAAAACGAACAAATCCTGGAACAGTGTTCGTGCTTCCAGGTTTCAAGGTTAAGATGCCGGTACTTGCCAAACAAGAGTGCTTCGTTGCGAGGCGATGCGAGTGTAGTATCATCTTTGCTGCCGTGAGCATCGCGCTATAGTGAGATTCCAGAGTCAGTACCGCCTATTTGAGGGGCAATCTTAAGTCTCGAAAACTGTCGATAGAGTAAGAGCTCCCGAGGCAAACCTCCAGACTCAAGATTTGGTTCAAAAAAAGAAATTTGCACTCCGGAAGTACATACTCAGACCTGTTAGCAAAATCTGTTGTGCCAGTATGGCAGTCGCGGCCGTTGACCTGGATAGTGTGCCAGCGGTAGGCCTGGACCTTCACGTGCAAACAGTTAATTGGCTGATTTGTTTATTGCCGGTACTCCGAGCTTACACCATGAACCACTCCAATTTTCTGCTCTTGGCTCTCAAGACGAGGACCTTGTTCTGTCACCCCTCGAATTAGTCAGCTCAACCTTCGCAAGTCAAGACATGATATGTAGAACGAGAGCAGCACTGCTTTGAGTATAAGTGTTGAGAGACATGGTTGTAGGGGTGCTCAGAGAAACGGCACCAATTTCTCTTACCGATATGCAATTCAAAGTGTGCCTGCCATTACAATCAGCTTTCTACCTGTCAACATTCACAGACTATGCTACTTGCTGCGATAGGCATTGCGCTAAAGCTGGATTCCATTGTACCCAGATAGCCAATACGTTCGAGCTCCTGTTTCATGGTCTGCTTCCCACCTCCAACTTCTTGAAGACTGTAGGCTTGTTCGAGGGGAATTTGGCCGGCCCATACACCTGATGATACCATTGAGATGGGAAACCTCGCTCCCTCTTCGCTGCAAGCCACACTAACGCATCAGTGTTGTAAGAGTTATATCTAAGTTTGCTCACTTGGTCCAGTTGATCACACCCACGGGAAAACGGGTTTCGATTTTCTCCTCGTGTAAAACTCTGAGCATTTCGACTCCGGCACAGACTCCCAAAATTCCATCCTGCTCTTTATTTAGCGTTGCTCTAACGACTAGTGAGACTCTTAGTCTTACATATCGTCCCCCAGTGGGTTGAGTGTCCAGGTGTGATCCTACCACTGTTGGGGGCCCTTTATACTTGCCTTTCTTTACCGCAAATATATTACCCTGCGTCGATGATAATGACAATCAGTTTATCAAATCAGCAAAAGGGCAGGTTTACCATCGAATCAACCGTAGTGCTACAACCAAGGGATTCTGTAGTTGCCACAAACCAATTGCGAGCTTCTCGATCACCATCAGATAAAGCCAACCTGGACATGCCCGTGTCGGTCTCGCCACTGCCCCAAGGTCAGCTCAGTCAGAACAGACCGCCCCGATGTCTCCTGTATTCGACGTAGTTTGCAAGGAATGACGGACAGAAAAGGAACACTCGAGACAACGACCTACTTTCCCCATCTCTCGCCCTGACCATATTGACAAGTGTGATGAATATCGGCCCACAATCTGTCTCTATTGACCGTAGGTCTAGAAGTAGAAGGGTAGATGGAGGTAGTAATCGCTAATCGCTGCACCCTCGAAAGAGTCTTATGTCTCCAAGAGCTTCGAATATACCCTAGCGTTATCCTGCCTACAGCACGGAGCCCCGATGAGGCCATTCTGGAAAGTTGTTTGCAGTCCACAGCAAAGATTATTGTGGGAACAAGCGAAGGTAATTGGCGAGATACTTTAGCCCGAAAAAAAAACAGCTAATTAGCGTGTATCGCGTAAGTAAATGAATATCGGCGCTACGAATCAAACTCTCCGACAACGAGCATTGAAAACACGAAAATCATCAGCGCAGGGACAATGAACGTTGTAAAGCGCACGAAAAAGCTGAAGGCGGTGAGTCGTAGCTTATGAGGAGCTGAATCTCATGTCGCTAACAATGTGCACAGAAAGTGAGTATAAGACAGATGGCTGTCTAATATCTTTGGGGCACGCCTTAATATGTTATATAGCTTCTTGATATACGCATTGGACCTGGAGCAGCTGTATTATCGAACGACGTTAAGCGAATTCATCTCGACTTTGCCCATAAGCTCAACGATGGCCACTTTGGTGCTCGTAAAGTTTGGCGCAAATTTCTTCCCCGACTCAAATACCACAATCCGGCAATATCAATGACAGTAAACCGCACTCTTGACCAGGAAGGACCCGCGACCCTTACAGTGTTCTTTACACCTCCTCCAAGATCTTCTTCCGCTACAGCATCGTCTGCACCTTTTTCGTCGACAGATCCATCTACTGCGCCATCAGGACATGCGCCTGGTGCCAAAATAGAGACGATTGACATGAAGCATAAGCACGAGAGTGAGATTCTATCTAGGCTGTTAGAGTTGACAAAAGGAATGCCGTACGAGGCGAGTCCTGATGAGTTGGCTGAATTGAGAGACGTGGATGATGAGAAGAGGCAGAGCGAGAGAGACAGAGAGGCGCAGGCCAGGTTGAATGAGATTAAGAGGCAGGAGAAAGCAGTACTCGATTTGGCAAGAGGGGGAGTTGAGGCTGCTTGAGAGTTGTCGTTACAAGCAACAATTGTATGCATATTACACCGTGCATATCAAGCGCCAAGGGAGGAGACGGATCACTTTTGCCCACGTATTGCATAGCATTCACAAAACATCAGAACAATGGATTCTTGATTGTCAAGACGGAAGGATCTCAATTCTATTGTTCCATAATCTTTTGTAGTACAATCATGCGGAGTGCTCATTGAAGCAATCACAGCCGAGTTGAGTCCCAAAAACCGTTTGTCACATATGCCTTGCGTGTGTCTTCTGAGGGGAGTAATCTATTTCTACTCAAGATCAACCGGGAAGTTGCCATTCTCTGTCAATGAGGTTAGCAGCCATGCGATGTACGGGAAGGCCCAGTTGTACCTCGCTGGTCGTCCCAGCGTTCGCACCAAGCACTAGGGCAAAGTGACCGGTAGGCAAGGAAGAACTGGAGGGCGAAATTTAGCAAGAATACCCAAACGTAGAGCCTAAAACGATGTACCTGACGGCAAGGAGCGAAGTCTTCGCCTTTGGCTAAGATGCATTTGTGGTAGTCGACATAGTTTTGCCAGCAGTGCTTGGTCCTATGGTAGGTATAAGCTCTATCCACAAAGTAGGAACTGACTGGATACGCACTGGTTCTGGTTGGGGAATCGCGCATCGAAGCCTAGAGATAGGACGTCGGTTAGTAGGGCTCAAGGCAGTGGACATAAGAGACTTCGTTCCGAGTGTTCCTCATGCTAGGAAGGGCGGAGGAAGCTGACCGGCTGCCATGTACATTAGTGTCTACAGAACGAAGAGACCTGAGCAAGGAGCACTTACCGGTGACAAATTTGAACGGCTTGGTCACGAGCTTGTCTTCATCGTCCGCCATTTTGATGATTGCTGATAAAGGACTTGGGTATCGTAGAAGACAGCTGTGGGCGTTGAATGCCGATACAATTGAGGAGCTAGGTGACTTGAGGTCGGTACGACTACGTCAAAGCTCGGAGTTCTTGGCAAAACGCTAACGCCTACCCGCCATATTTGGGCGTCTTGAAAATCATCAATGGCAACTACATAAGGTGCAAAAGCGTCACACTTTGAAGCTCGCAACTGTCTTCGCAAGCATGTATCCAACTCGCATACTCAGGATGCAGCCTACGAGGCCACTTTTCAGGCCAATGCCTGTAAGTCAACGTCGTCCACCTACCCTGTCAGTCACTAATTTTCAGCAGAAAGAGGAGCACAGTGGTGTGTTCATCAGTCTTATAATCAAAACCTCAGCCTTGCACAGAGGATTCCCGAATCATGAAGCTAACAATATGTCTGGGTAGCACACACAATATCTCAGCGTCTGCGAACCCTGAAGAAGATCCCTCCGGAGCTTATGCCACTGGGTAAGCTGTGTTCTTCCACAGACTACTAATACTGCCTTCGCTAATGTCTCCTATAACAATAGGTGTTGTGCTTGGGTGAGTGCGATTAATCCGCAGTGAGCAACTAAAATGATTGAACCCTTGTTTCAGTGTTGCAATCGGATTTGCTGTCTACAGTCTGGGAAACAAACTGGTCACGGACAAGACGCTACGTCTTCACAAGACGAACCGATCAGAGAGTTTTAAGTGAACCAGTTGCTCCAGAGTTGGACATGGTCCCAAACGGTGATGGTGTGCCTTGCGAGCGGTGCTGGAATCGAGGTTTCGAAATTGGCTGAGGGTTTGAGCAATGCGCGTTAAGAAATGTCGTCATGTACATATAACTGGCATGCAATCTTTGAAAGAACCCAGTGTCCCACTCAGAGAGGCAAGCGAGTCAAATAGACTTGTCCTCCGTTGCGCTCTCACACTGGTTGCGGTCCAGCTACGTCTAAGCCTTCGAGACCTTGCATTGGGTCCTCTGGTATGGCTTCCAGTTCTTCTCGTCCTGGACCCGTTGCTATCCGATCTTCTTCGCTCACGGCATGCTTTGCAAGATACCCCTCCTGAACATATGGTCAGAATTTGAGTGCCGACATAGCAACGACGAGGCCAGACCTACCGATTCCCAGACAGCCGTTTTGCTTCCGAGACCCTCGTTACTATCCTTCTGCGGTTTGGCTGCCGCGACCTTGATGACTCGACCAAAAAGCTCACTTTGATCCATGTTGTCGATTGCTTCTTTCGCATCTCCTAGTATTTCGAATTCGACGTAGCCGAACCCTCTGTGAGGGTCCGTTGATGATGGTAGCTCTGATTTGGGTATTGTGACTTCTAAAATCTCGCCAAAAGGCAAGAAGACGTCCGCCAATATTTGGTCGTTCACTGCGTTGTCCAGACCAGCAACGTAGATTGTTGACTTCAGGCGCGACTACAGACGTTAGCTGTTGGGGTTTAGAGACGAGCGGCATAAAAACGTACTGAGTCTGTCATGGTGCAATCAGGGGATAAATATAATGTAGTGGTTTATGACCTTTTCAAAGATATCCATGAGGCTGTAGTCGGCTAGTCGCAGGGTGGTGAAGCTGGACCCTAACCACCAGAACGGAAAAAAAGAGCGGAGAAAAAGAGAGTTGAAACGCCGACGCTACAAAACTACAGCACCACTCCAAGAACTGGTCAAGGACACTTTGCAGCAATTGATACTTGATACCCATGGCTGAGCTTTAGATCTTGCATGCAGCAACTGACGCTTAACTTAAGTCTATATCGTGAAGCATTTCAGCAGGGTTGTGACTTCCCTTCTCCCATCTGTTCTCCTGCCTTTCATTTCCAGTTCCACGAACACATCGGTTGAAGCGCTCAACGGCTTAACATGGTTGGGTTACGAGAGATCCCAAGGACAGCTACGTTCGCCTGGTCATCCGGCACATCTTCACATTTCCTCGCTACTGGTACCAAGGCCGGGGCAGTTGATGAGGGGTTTTCCAATGAGACGCAACTTGAGCTATGGGACCTGGACCTGGACAGTCCTCAGCAGGGTCGTGAACTGAAACCAGCCGCAAGCATAAGTACTGACTCGCGGTAAGTGTCCAAATCATTGCCCCTCTTCTCACGTCTGCAAGAAAACTGCTGACAGTGATTTGCTGGGTTAGATTTAACGACATTGCATGGACGAATGGGCACGACAATCAATCGAGAGGCATAGTTGCTGGCGCGCTGGAAAATGGCTCGCTGGATCTATGGGATGCCGACAAGCTTCTCAGTGGGGATGGGTGAGGCTCGTTGTCCAATGCCCATGCTCAAGTCTTACCTTCTCCCAGGGACGCCTTCAAATCACGGACGTCAAAACACGGCGGCGCTATTAAAGCACTACAGTTTAACGCATTTCGGTCAGAGCTGCTAGCTACTGTGGGAGCTAAAGGCGAGGTATGCTGATTATCTAGATGTCTTTTTCGGCAGCTGAGGTTGATTTAGCTGTTCATTTCCGATCTTAATAACGTTGGAAGTCCGTTCCGCATGGGTAATGCAGTCGCCAGAGCTGACGACTTCGACTGCCTTGATTGGAATAAAAGAACAGCACACATCTTAGCCACGGGCAGTAGCGGAGGGACAATGACCGTGTGGGATGTGAAGAACAAGAGAGAAAGTCTGACCCTGAACAATCTGGGCCGAAAGCCTGTCAGCGCAATAGCTTGGGATCCAGTCAAGGTATCTAACACCGTAAACTTGTAAAGGCTGTGGCTTATTCTTCGTTCAGACCACCCGGCTTATCACTGCCATTCCTAATGATACAGATCCTGTCATCCTAGTATGGGATTTGAGGAACGCGAACGCCCCGGAGCGGGTAAGTACTCTTTGTATATTACGAGGAGGCACACTGAACGCTATTAGGTCCTGCAAGGCCATGATGGAGGTGTACTCTCGCTCTCCTGGTGCTCACAAGATGGTGATTTGCTGCTCTCTTCTGGAAAAGACAACAGAAACATTTGCTGGAATCCTCAAACAGGCGATTCGTACGGCGAGTTTCCAGTTGTTACCAATTGGGCATTCCAAACAAGATGGAACCCTCACAATCCTGGTCTTGTTGCTACAGCTTCTTTCGACGGCAGAATCGCAATTCAGTCAATTCAAAGCACCAAACCTGAGGCAGACGGTCCCGCTGGCAGTCACTCACAGACTGTGGACGACGATGACTTCTTCAGCAAAGCGCAATCACAGCCCCAAGGCACGAGCTTCAACCTCCAAAAAGCACCCAAATGGTTACAGAGGCCCTGCGGTGCATCATTTGGCTTTGGCGGGAAGGTTGTCAGTTTCAAAGGAAGTGCATCGGAGACATCAAAAAGATCGATGGTTCGCATCTCCACTTTTGCAATTGACGATGGTATTGCGTCGTCGACCGAGGCATTCGAAGCAGCGTTGAAGGAGAATGATCTAAGTGGAATCTGTGAAATCAGAATTTCCGAAGCTACATTTGACGCGGAAAAGGCAGATTGGAGGGTCATCAAGACACTGACGTCGAAGAGTCCAAGAAAGGACCTCGTGGACTACCTTGGATTCTCAAGCCAAGATGACGAGGTAGCAGATGGTGTTTCGAAGCTTTCAATGAATGGTTCAAAGGATGAAGACCCTCAAGGGTTGAAAGAACCATCGGCGTCCAAGTCCAATCGACTCTCGGCATTTTTCGATAACAGCGCTGACGGCGACAGCTTTCTTTCCGAACTTGCAGCCACTAAAGGTGCAAAGACTAATAATCCATTTCAACTGTACTCTGGCTCAGAGTCTGAACCGGATCAAAGAATCACGCGAGCACTGCTGCTTGGAGAATTCGATAAGGCGTTGGATGTATGCTTGCAAGAGGACAGGCTATCGGATGCATTCATGATCGCCATTTGCGGAGGTCAGGAATGTATTGACAAGGCGCAGAAGGCTTATTTTAATCGAAAGGCCGGAGGTCCGAATTATCTGCGCCTGTTAGCATCTGTCGTCGGCAAGAATCTTTGGGATTTGGTACACAATGCAGACTTATCTAGCTGGAAAGAGATAATGGCGACTCTTTGCACGTACGCCGATAGCAAGGAGTTCCCTGACCTCTGCGAAGCACTCGGAGACAGACTCGAT